AATTCTTATTTGTTCATTCTTTTCTGTGTGGTTGTGTCTTTCTTCCTTCTGGTCCACTCCATTGATGTGAGACCCAGCTTTCTTTCCATCACTATTGGTTCCCTGTGCATTTTCCTTTATTTCACTTTTCATAGCCTTCCTTTTTTCATCTAATTTGTGACCAAATTCAACCAATACTGTGAGCATCTTGATCACCAGTGCTTTGAACTGTGCATGTGATAGGTTGGCTATCTCTTCATTGCTCAGTTGTATTTGTTCTGGAGCTTTGATCTCTCCTTTCATTTGGGTCATTTTTTTTGTCTTGACATGCCTGTTACATAATGAGGGACGGAGCCTTAGGTGTTCCTCAGGGTGGGGCAACCCAGTTGCTGGGTTGTGATGCTGTGTGGGGGGCAGGGGTCCAAGAGGGAACAATGGTGCTTCCTCTTTTGTCTGCTGGATTTCAGTCACCTCCCCTGCTTCCCACAATCAAATTGTGCCCTTCTGGTGCTGATTCCCATGTGGGTGGGTTTCTGTATGTTCTGGGACCCTGTGGGTCTCTCCAGCAAACTCTCCTGTGATGCTGGGAGTTTCTCCTGGCACCTCAACCTCCACAGGTGTTTTCAATTGGTGTTTTCAGGCTTTATTTTCTTGCACTGGGACCGTGGGTTGTGTGGTCTGTCTCACTCACCAGTTTCACCTGGCTTATCTGCACAGGAATGTGAGACCACCCGGTCCGCCAGCCGCCATACATGCCATTCTCCTCCATAATCTGCCGCCTGGCTGGATTTGCCTGCTGCCACCCTGTGCCCAGGGTCTGCCAGCCACTGCTTTTTTTGCTTTGACCCCTCTTTGCCTGGCTGCCCAAATCCACCCCTCCTACCTATCTGGATGAATATGTCTATTTTAACTCCTTGGTTGTTGGACTTCCATACAGTTCAATTTTCTGTCAGTACTGGTTGTTTTTTTTTTCCTAAATTTTTGTTGTCCTTATTTTGGTTGTGCAAGGAGGCACAGTGTGTCTACCTATGCCTCCATCTTGGCCGGAAGTTTCTATACCATTTTTTATATCTCCCCATCTATTTTATGCCTACTAATTATGCTTCTTTTTCCCTGTACCTTTCCCCCACATTCCTCCTTTCCCCCTCCCCACTGAACTCCCTCTCTGTGATGCCCATTTCTCTGATTCTGTTCGTGTTCTGGTTGTTCGCTTAGTTTTTGTTTTCATTTTTTTTCTTTTAGGTTCATTTGTTTATGGTTGTGGGTTTGTTGTCATTTTACTGTTCGTTTTTTTTATCTTCTCTTTCTTAGATAAATCCCTTTAATATTTCATATAATAAGGGTTGGGTGATGATGAATTCTTTTAACTTGACCTTATCTGGGAAACACATTATCTGCCCTTCCATTCTAAATGAAAGCTTTGCTGGATAGAGGAACCTTGGATGTAGGTCCCTATCTTTCATAACTTCAAATACTTCTTTCCAGTCCCTTCTTGCATGCAAGATTTCTTTTGAGAAATCAGCTGACAATCTAATGGGCACTCCTTTGTAGGTAACTGTCTCCTTTTGTCTTGCTGCTTTTAGGATTTTCTCTTTGTCTTTAATCTCAGGTACTTAATGATGATGTGCCTGGTATGTTCCTCTTTGCGACCAACTTTTTGGGGACTCTCTGGGCTTCCTGGACTTCCTGGAAGTCTATTTCCTTTGCCAGATTGAGGACATTTTCCTTCATTATTTGTTCAAATAACTTTTAAATTTCTTGCTCTTGTTCTTCTCCTTCTGGCACCCTTATAATTTGGAAATTGGAATGTTTCAGGTTGTCCTAAAGAGTCCTCAGCCTCTCTTCATTTTTTTGGATTCTTGTTTTTTCATTCTGATCCAGCTGGATGTTTATTTCTTCCTTTTGTTCCAAATCATTCCTTTGAGTCCTGGTTTCCTTCTTGTCACTGTTGGTTCCCTGAATAATTTGCTTTATTTCATTTTGGGTATCTTTCATTTGTTTTTTCATTTTTCAACCAAGCTTAATCAGTTCTGTGAGCATTTTGATTACCAGGGCTTTAAATTCTCCATCAGATAGGTTAGCTATCTCCTCATTGCTTAGTTCTCTTTCTAAAGTTTTGCTCTGTTCTTTCATTTGGCCATATTTCTTTGTCTTGGTGCAGCTGATAAGTTATAAGGGGGCAGGTCCTTAGGTAATCACCCAGGCAGGACAACCCTCTCTGCTGCGCTGCATTGCTGCCTGTGGGGAAGGGGCCAGAGAGGAAACAGTGCAGCTCACCTGCTTGTCTCTAGCACGCTTTCCAATGAACTCTCATGTGAGTGAGACTGGGAGTTTCTCCCACTGTGGCAACCCCAGCCATAGCCCACAATCAGCTCTGAGTCTCAGTTCTCCCCTTAAGTCAGCCCCTCCCATGCAGCCCCTGGAGCTCAGCAGCCAGCCCTGCCCCTCAGCTACCTAGCAGCAGTTTTTCTGAGTTGGCTGGCTTGGTCCACCTTACCAGTCTGGTTGTTCTGGTTGATTTTTTTCTTTAATTCCTTGGTTGTAGGAGTTCCATGTAGTCTGATTTTCTGGTGCTTTTGGTTGTTTATTGATTTTAGATTGGCTGTTATCCTCCTTTTGGTTGTTCAAGGAAGTGAAGGGTTTCTACCTATGCCTCCATCTTGGCTGGAACTCTGAATTTAGACTCTCTAATTCTTAACACTAAAATCCTCTATTTGCAGAAATGAAGGAAACAACAAAAATGTTGAATTTCATTTTCCAGCTTGAGCTTCACAAGGAAGTTAAGCAAAATCTGCCACTGTAGAAAAGAGAAATGATCTCTTTTGTCTTTAAACACTACATGAAATATTGCATTTTTGATGTGCAGGTGGAACCCAAAGCAGGATCAGGGTACATGGCATAGACCCAAAGCCATCATTTTGATTCTCTGTGTGTCATTTTGATTTTATGTACATCTATGCTATTTTTGTCTTGCCAGCCTATTATTTAAGCTTTAGCAGAAAAAAAAATGTCCTGTTTTACAGGACCATAATCTGCTTGTTGGGTGGATAACCAGGAGGCCTTTGGCCTTCATCATTTACTCCAACAAGGTAACTAGATTATTGCCTTGTAAAACAGCATGAGTCCCATGCCCTGATTTCATGTGTCATGCTAACCCACAGAACATCCTTGAAACTTCTACCAAATTAATAAAATTGATTATAGTCACAGAGATGACCAAAATTAGTTCTAGGCTGAAAAAATTAGTCAAAGGCTGATCTGAGAGTATAAATAGTAAAAACAACAGTGCTGGAAATGACTTATAGTACAGGATTTTAGTCTACACTGGTGTTCATATGAATCAGATTTATCATTCCAAGATTGAGAAGGTTAAGCAAATACAGTCATGCATCACTTAATTATAGGGATACTTTCTGGGAAGTACTTCATTAGGCTATTTCCTCATTGTGCAAATATAGAGTGCACTAACACAAACCTTGATTGTATAACCTACTACACACGTAGGCTAAATTATAGCCTATTGCCCCCTAGGCTACAAACCTGTACAGCATGTTACTGTACTGGATACTGTAAGCAATTGTAATGTGTTGCAGTATGACATTAAAATGGCTATGACATTACTAGGCAATAGGAATTTTTCGGCTTCCTTATAATCTTATGGGACTACTGTCATATATGCAGTCTTAGACATTGACTGAAACATTGTGGTGCATGACAGTACTGGTGAAAATTCTAATCCTAGTGGCTTTTAAATCTCTCTGTTAATTGAAAGACAAATTCTAAAGTCATTGCTAAGGATTCCCTGCCAATTTTTTTTTTACTTCCATCCTAAATACAACACTGTGTTATTGTGGGAGATGCGGGTTTCCAGAGAGCCTGAGAGATCCATCCAGGAAGTCCTGAATAATGGCAGCATTGATTGTTGACAGGTAGTACTTGTGAAATCCAGAAGTAGATGGTGACATATGCAAATAGACCATCAGCTAGGATTATGACTATTCCAATCCACCTCCAGGTCTCAGAAGTCCTGCTTTCCACTTACACCAGCATCCTTGCCAACAGGTAGAAGGAAGGAGAATTAAGATGAAGAGCTGTGATTATAAACAGCAAAAATAAGTGATTAAAAGAACATAAATATCCAGATATTAACTTCTATTCTGGGCATGCCGCCTTCTTTCCATTAACATTTTCTTTTTTGATACACTAAAAAATTATTATCTAAATGTGAGGGTCTGTGATGAAGGCTTGAAATTCTGAGACGCAATTATTAACTTTTCCTTGTCATATAACCTTGGAAAATCACTTTACCCTGGCCTGTTTCCTCATCTAGAACAGGACCTAGATCACATCATGCACTCAATAAGTATTTCCAGAGGTTAAAAAAAAAGAGTCTGTAAAATTAGGATAAGCCAGGAGAGAGCAGAGATTTCTTCCAGTTTCACCATTCAACAGACCTATGATTTTTTTGTTACAGGCTCCCTCATGTCCCTTGCCATTTTAATCCTCTTCTGCAGGTGTGTACCAACAGAGAAATCTCTTTTTACTCAGTACAATCCTACCTTACATTTTTTCATCACATGATAGTGTTACTTCTCAATTATGTTACAGCAAGAAGAAAGCATTTTGCTGTTAACCTGTTCATATGTGTTTTTTTTTCAAACAATCAGTTGCCAGAGTATATTACTATTTTTAAAGTTCTATATATTTCAAAACCTATAAGGAAGTATTTACATTTTCCTTCCATAGTTGTTTTCTGCTTGATTTTATGAGTTAAATGAACAGTTTCCAATACCTTGTGTCTGATGTTTTTCCACTCCATTAAAATGCTAAAGGATTTTTTCCTCTCTAGAAGGAAAAAGACCTTTCCCCTGTAATTTACTCTGCCTTTCTCGAAAGTGTGGTTGAAAAGTCAGTAAAACTCAGGCAGAATCTAAAATGTTCTTGTTGTACAAGTGTGTGCCTAAAGGAAGCCTATAATTTCCAAGCATTCTTTCAGGAAGTTTGTATTCTCTGTTTTCCAGGGAGCCTTTACTTTCCAAGGGAGTATGATCGACATGCCATTACTGAAGCAAGCCCAGAACATTGTTACGCTTGCCACATCCATCAAGGAAAAATGATCTGTTAAATTAAGCTCTCGTCATGTGGGCTGAACGTATACAGTGGATTTCTTAAAGACAGACCATAATACCCAAGGCAACTTGTTAGTATGCCAAATTGGAACTTTTCTCAATTTACAGTTCATGGTAATCGCATTTGTTGTCCCTGTTCTTATCTCAGTGGCCACTTATTCCTCTAAAATGAACTTTCTTCTTTTTGGTTCTAAGTTCATGATTTTATTATTCATTTATATGTTATAGATGTACACTTGTTATTTCACAGGGAGATAAAATAGTAGGGAAAGATATCTGTGAGGGGAAATTAGGTCTTTCCCAATATGCATACTCCCTTCATCCTCACGTTAGATGTTTCCCACATTATTCATTTGTTCACTTGACTCCATAAATAATTTTAAGGAAGGCTAGGCTTTTAAAAAATAATAACTGAACCGAGGGATTGTGTTTATTTCAATAGAAATCTGATTTTAAAAAACACAACAGAGATAACATAGAAAAGTTGATTAATGATCATATTGGTTTATACAGATATCTCAAAAAAAATCTTCAGAACTGATTACTGTTAACCTCCACCCCCCCAAAATGAAACATCCATAATCATGTAACTGTTCAGTGGTGGCTGAGAAAGTCCACATCCTGGATGAATGCTTTGGGTCGTTACCAGCAATTAAAAAATAAATGTGCATAAACACAAGACTATCCATTCTCCTCCTTGATTTCCTCATTTAACTGTTTGCCACTGAGTCCCATTCCCCTGTAAATGTATGGCCAGGACAGGGGCCCCTCAGCTATAAACTTGTAGCCTCTAAGAAGACACAATGGGGCAGAGCTGGTACATATGGTCCCCTGCAAGATTTGCATCACATTAGAGATGCTGCTACAGGTCATATGGGTGGTGTGGTTAACGGGCTTAGTAAAGCTGTTTTGAAGAGGTTAACCCAGCTTGTAGGAAGGGTAAATAAACATAACAACCAGCCATTCTTCCCTATTCAGCATGTGCTCTTATATTGAAGGCTAAAGGGTATTGAAGCTGCTAAGGATCAACTTGTGTTTGCCAGAGGACGCCAGTGAAATTTGAAACACCAACAATCAGAGATTTTGTTTCTGCCCCTCATTAAATCATGAGCTTTTGTGTTGAGACTCTGGATGACTGTTCTTTAAGAAATTAACAGAATGGGAAGTTTTAAACTCTACACCAACCTTTTCATGACCTACACAGCAGCAAGGCTGCTACTCTTAGACAAACACCATGGGGAAGGCTGTTCTGTTTATTTAAATTTGTAAATAGAAAACAGTTGTTGGGTTTTTTTTTTAATTTTCATTTTTCAACTCCTCCTCTGCCCTTTTTGTTTATTTCCTATGTGGCCTCTACTATGTATCCCAACCAGGAGCCTCTTTTCCCCCTATCTCTTCCATTCCTTCAGGAAGCCCCAGGGGGAGTAGAACTAAAGGTTGTATACAAGGAAAAGGATCGTGGAACCAAAGCAAAGTAGGAAGGCCCACATGCCATCATGCAACACCCACCCAGCCAAAGCATGGCAGGAAGGTGGGCAATTCAGTTTTGACAGGAATACCAGAGGAAACTGATCAAGGCAGAAAGTTTCTGAGGAAACACCTTGATTAACAAACTAATATTCCCAAACATGGGATCCTTGGAGACAGCTCTTAAACAGAAAAGGGATATGCCAAGTGGTCCTAGCCTTCCTTGGACAATACATCTCCCCTCCTTGGTGCACTCCCTTTAACTAGTCATGAGAGCACTGTCACTCTTCACCTTGGTTGCTCCAAGGTGCTTCAGAGTTACCTGGAAAGGGAGGTGGATGCTATACACATCCTCATATGGAGGGGCTGCAAGGAGAAAGCTAGCATCTTTGCCAACTTTTGAGATTATTGGCCTCCAGCTAAACTGGGCTTCATGACTGCAGACAGGCAGTGGGCAGCAATTACAGGAGAAGCAGCTCCCACTCCACCCCATTGTTGCAGTGGTGCCCATCTAGGCTGTTAGCCAGGTGTGCACAAGGGTTAATCCAGGACCATAGGTGTCCACACAGTTGGACCCCTCTGCTCAGAATGCAGAGACACAAAACTGCTCAAAAGGCAAAGGCCTCCTCTCATTCTGACTTGTCATACACACACACACACACACACCACTCAAAGTGCAAAAAGTGTAGGCAGGGCCAGTCTTAAGCAAAAGAGGCAAATAAAAATGTTTCTTTGGCCCTGGCTGATGTGGCTCAATTGATTGAGGGCTGGCCTGGTGAACCAAAGTGTGGCTGGTTCAATTACCAGTCAGGGCACATGCCTGGGTTGCAGGTCAGGTTCCCAGTAGGGGGCGTACAAGAGACAACTACACATTAGTGTTTCTCCCTTTCCCTCTCTCTAAAAATAAATTTAAAAAATCTTTTTACAAAGTTACTGTTAAAAACATTTAAAAAATAAAAACTTTCTTTGTATTTCCCCCACAGGCAACTCCCTACTTCAACCCAACTGCCCTTTCCATCCTCTGTGTTGGTCCAGATAACCCCTCCAGGCTCTGACAGAATGAAAGGGCAAGTTGGCCTAGTCTCCACCCCAATTACACAGGCAACCCCCAAACCCTACATGGGAGTCTCCTCTAGCCATGAGCTCCCTGAGAGCCAAGCCCTCCCCATGAGGGAACCTCAGGTGCACAGGTGAAGGCATTTGGACCTTAGGTAAAGCAGGTCCCTGGGCAAGGTCTCTACCCACATCACCAGCAGACCTGTGGGTTCCTAGGTCCCCAGCCAAGTTGAACCAGCCACCACATCCTTAATCTCAAACTGCACTTGGTTCAGACAAAACCACCTTGCTGTTTTAGTGTCCCCAAGTGTCAGATTTACTATCTTCTTCATAACCCCTTGGTTCTGATTATGGTAAGATCATGAAATAGGGACTTGTGAGAGCCAAAAATCTGGACCAAGTATCCACTTTGAGCAGAGACTCTAGTGAGGGCCCTGGAAGAGTTTAGTCAGGATGAGAGACTCATTGTGCCTCATTCCTTGAAGAACAAAATTCCAGAACAAGGAGATGCTGGGAGACAAGGTATCATTACTGTTTTCCTACCTGCATCTCTTTGGAGCCATGGCAGGGGGTGGGAGTGGTGGCTGTAGGTATCACAGGGAGGGTGGGAGAGAGTGAAGGAGAGCTGGGTGAACTGATCCCACTCAACATGATGGCAATACCCAACCTGGGAAATTCTCTGAGCTAGGAGTGAATCACAAAAAAGGGACTTTGCAGTAATCTGATTGATTAAAAACCATACCTGTTTATATTTTGCACAGCTCATCACAAGCTGCTTCACCTTATCATCTTCCTCTTATTAATTCTTGGAGCCTAAATTATGGGCAACACTATTAAAACATTATCAGAACTAATGAGAAACAATTACTTAGAAAATGAGCCTACACAAGATTGAGTTGAAAACATCAGTGGTGATCACTGTAGATTAGTTTAATAAATCATCAGGTGCAAAGCAAGACTGACTGTATGTATGCAAAACCCTGTCACAGGAAAATGGAATGGAGACTTTTTTGCATAATTTTTTCATTAATCTCAATAGGACCCGTGTGGTGTAGATTGTTTTATTCCCCTAATACCTTGCCTGGGGGGGCGGGGGAGGATGCCCAATAATGTCTTCATTGTTTTACTGAGGTCTTAATGACAATCTGTGACAACCTCATTTTAATGTATAGAGGATTATATCAATCCAATCATGTTTTATTGAAATGTTGAGGGAAACTGGTGGAGTCAGGCACTGTCCCAGAGCACAAGTTGGGAAGTTCCCAGGCATCTGGAGCCAGTCTCTTCAGATTTCCAAGTGTTCAACCTCTGGCTCTCTGCTGTCTTCTCCAAGACAGGCTGGGAAAAGTGTCCTTAAGAACTCAAAGACTTTATGCCTCCAATTTGAATTTGAAAGTAACTCATTGCCTGGCGTATTTTGCTGGGCGAATGGAAAAAAATGTAGGGTTGTTTTCGCCCTTTACGAAAATAGACGTACAATATCATTAACGTCTTTGCCGGAGCTCGGAAAACTGACTTTCATTGGCTACCTTAAATTTCTAACGATATCTTAAGGGGGGAGGGGAGAATAAAAACTTTTTTTTAAAGAAAGTTCTGCTTTTACTGTTTTCATCTATCTTGGAAAGCTAAACGTCTTGCGTTTTTACTTTTACCTCTAGTACTTTGAAGACAGTCGATGATACCAAGCAAGTTATAAGATTATCAGCAGCATCTCGTGTATATTCATGCTGGCGAGGGGCACGGAGCCCCTTTGCAACGGCAGAGCTTGGGCCCTGGGCTCAGGAGCACTATCCTCCCAGGCAGCCCAAACACCCTCTCTCTACCCATCCCCGCCCCCAAGGTTTTCGTGTGCAGTTTAGGGGGAAGTAATTAGCTGATCTCAACATTTAAATGTTAAAACCTTAGTTATCCTTTCCATGCTTTATTTTAAATTGGGGTGGGACTGAAGGTTTAAGAGACAGAACAAAATGAAAAATAAATTACTTTCCAAAACCAACTTAGTACCTGAAATCTTGCGCGGAGGGACCGCGCAGCTTTTCTGTTGTTCTGTGACCAGTGATTTTTGTTGCTGTTGAAAATTTGTTTACATACCAGCAATTAATTGGCTGCATGTTTCCTTCCGAATCAATAAGAATTGCCCAGGACATGAAGAAAGGGGCTATGTAGGAAGGAACCAAAATCATCGTTAGCGCCTTTTGCGGTGGTTGTTTGCTGCCGATCGAACCCTCTTTCAGCTCAGGGAGCTGAGCCTGCAGATGTTTTTTTTTGTTTTTGTTTTGTTTTTTTTTTTACAAAATCTTTTTGGATTTATTTGTCGCTCGTGCTCTTACTTTTTATATTTTAGTTTCTCTAAACTTCCCCATTGAAAGTTCTACTGTTTGCTGCTTCCAACAGAAAGGACCAGGCGAGCTGAAGGATGTGCGCCCTCTTGATGGAACACTCGGAGTCAGCGTGCCTGGTCGCCCGGCCGGGCTCCCAAGGCCCCCGAGGTCTCTGGAGCACGGAGGAGGAGAGCTGTAGGCTCCGCAGGCACCGTCCGGGCTGTCGGGCTGTCGGGCTGTCGCTGCAGTCACAGCTCCGTAGGGACAGCGGGCGGGGCAGGCGGGAGGACCCGGTGGCCGAGACTGCGGCCCAGCTCGCCCGCTGCCGAGGGCTGCTTGGAGTCCACTGTAATGGTGGCAGATCAAAGGCTGCCCGGTGTCCCCGTGGAGACCGGGACAATCCCGTGCCTTTGTGAGCTGTTGCTAGGAGCCCAAGAAACTAAGAGAAAGTGTCAGGAGCATGTTAATCAGACTCGTTACAGTGTAACAATAACGTCCCTCTCTGGTCTCCCAGGTCCAGAGCACACTCTGTGCACCCTGCGCGCAGGCCCAACACCTGCGGGGGGGGGGGGGGGGGTCACGCCGCCCTGGGGACTGGCTGGCCTCTGTGCTCGAACAGCCCCCAAGTCAGTGCCTGGGCCAGTTGCAAGGATGAGGACCTAGGGTCCCTACAAGCAGCAGGCGCATCTCCTGGGTCCTGGTCTCCTTGACTGGAGTCCCGTGCCTTTAATCTATCCTGCTCAAAGCCGGATCCATAGGATCCACGGCAAGAGGGACTTTCGTAGGATCTGGATCCCCTTGCTTTTCAGTCATTGAGTTGAATTGTCCACGTTAT